CCTCAAGGGTGGCAAGGTCAAGTTCTTTGACCTGCCCAGCAAATCTGTTATCTCCCTGGTATTTGACCTGGATGCACCAGGGCCTGAAACTCTGCCTGTGGCTGACTGGCAGGACCCCCTGGCCCCACCTGCTCGCCGGTGGCGTTCTTTGCCTGGTTCACCAGAGTTCTTGCATCGAGAGTCCTGTCCATTTGTTGGCCGAGAAGAATCACTATCTGATGGGCCCCCACCACGCCTCAGTAGTCTCAAGTACAGGGTGAGAGAGATCCCGCCATTCCGAGCCTCTGCCCTCCAAGCTGCTCCAGCCCACGAAGCCATGGACTGCTCCAGTCCCCAGGAAGAAAATGGTTTGGGGCCCAGGCCCCAGGGGGCCAGTTCATGCCTTCCAGGTGCTTCTGAGGAAATGGAGGTAGAAGAAGAAAGGCCAAGAGGCTTGGCTCCAGTCCCTTTCTCTGTCTCAGGCATAGGCCTGAAAACCCAGGGAAAACAGGATGGGTGAGAGGGGTTAGTCCCCAGCTCACCTTGGGGGTGGACCTTCATTTGAAGCCAGAGGGCCCCCTTGGTGCACAGCCTCGACTCTTCCCTGCAGCCTACAGAGCAGGCAGGCCAGGCCAGGCTCAATCTGGGGGCTCCAAGTGCCCAAAGGCTGTGTATGAGAGGGGAGGCAGCAGTGAAAGGCCCTCCCAGGCAGGGCCAACAGCAGATACAAAGCTTCTGAAATTCAGCAAGGAGCTCTGGCTCCCACCCAACTCCCACTGCACTTCCCCAGACAGGACCAGAGGACTCTTAGTTCTGGTTTGAGCTGGCAGGCAGCTAATACCCCAGGTTCTTCTCCCACCCCAGGTCTGTCATATAAGCTACTGGATGGAACCTGGAGCTAACCAGGAAGCCATAAAAGGCATGGCTATTTCTCAGACCTGAAGAACGGGGAGCTTCTTGCCAGGACGTCTAAGACACTTGAATAATTGCTGTTTGCACTTACTGCATAGTCAGACCACATCACTACATTTCTATGCAAGGGGAGGGTGAGGCAGCGTGGTGGTCATGGCTCTTAGCTAACCTATTCAAAGATCTTTGCCAGTTGATTAATCTATTTTCATATTTATGAAGGAGTCTTAATGTTCTGCCCCAGAAACTTTCAACCTTGTGGTTGGGAGTGGGGCCGGTTTTGTAGGCCTCAGGGCCTGCTCTATGTATTTGTCAACATGTGATACACCCAGGTGGTTAAATGGCTTATGCACAGGCGGATTTTCTTCCCTTCCTGCTCTGGCTGGAGCCACGGGAACAGTCTGTCCTTACAGAGCCGCAATAAGAAATAACCAAAGATGAAGCTGGTCAAATATTTTCATAACTTGTTTCTGTTGTTTTTTTGGTAATACTTTTTCCCAAGACACTTTCAGATTTAAAAATAAATAAAGTCTGTGTTACAGGTGGTCAGCCTCCTTACTTGTACCCTTGGTCCTTACCCTCTAGAGTAAAGGTGGTGGTCCAGGCCAGGACCAACCCCAAACCCCCAGCTCTGTAGAAGGTGGGAGTAGAACATTCACAGGTTAGAGGAACCCAGACACCTCTGTTCCACTCTTAGTTCTCTTCCTGGGCCTTGAGTGCTAGGCGGAAGCTGGGTCAGCTGCTGCCCCAAGCCAGCTTCATCTTCTGGTTGTGGGCTTTGGAGGATCGGGAGAACTGGCTCTTGGCCACTGTGAGGGGTACAGCTTTGCCACTCAGGTATACCTTGTTGTGGCATTCAGGTAGCCAGGGTTCAGAGCTACAGAGCTGGGGTCCTTGGCTCACTGCCACATAGGCCATCACGTAACCTGTCATAAAGGCATCAAAACCAGCCCGATGCAGTCCATCCCCAGGCACAGGGTGAGGACCGGCTTGACTTCCTGGTGCTTCTGGGGCAGCTGTATCAGCTGTTTCTGGCCCTGCTGTTTTAAGGTCCAGCTCCAAGTCATTTTTGTGACCTTGCTCCAAGCCAGGCTGGGTCTTAGTCTCATCCTCAGCTACCTCTTGCTCCATTTCTTCAGTCTTGAGGCCATCGCCACAGACCTGCTTCACTGGAGGACAATCCTCAGTTTCCTCAGAGGTCTGTTTCCCAGGCAGGCCCAACAAAGCCCTCCGCCGTTTCTCCCTACGTCGCCGCCGTCGCCGCTTGTCCTCCACCACAGCCTCATCGGTGTCAATGATAAGATCAATATCATGAGACCGAGGACACTGTGGCCCCAGGGGGCACCAACCATAGGCCTAGAGGTAGGAAAAGGCTTAGAGAGGCGTTCCAGGCATCAGAACCTCCCCTCCCCCAAGAAGTGGGTGGGTGCTCTCACCGAAAAGTTGTCACAGACGCTGGTGGAATGAGGGCGATGGGTTGCAGGGGGCATGCAGCAACGGTAGTCGATATGGGCCCTCATGCTGGAAGGATAGTTGCAGAACTCCAGGGTCAGGTGTGGGCTGCCAGCTGCCTGCTGCTTCCCATTCTCCCGCTCACTGAAAAAGCATAAGAGGGTATTGGCCCACTAGCTTATAAACTCCAAGAGAATAGGGTTTTTGTCAGTTTTGCTTACTGCTGAATACTCAGCACCAAATACTGTGCCTGGCACATGGTAGGCACTCAATAAATACCTTGAATGAATGAAATAGTCAGGCTTATACCAGGCCCCACCCCTAAACCTGAACCAGTTCCTCACCATTTCCGGAAAACATATTCTAGGTAGGAGGCCACGAAGCGCGCATGAAACTCAGCAGCATATTTGGTGTCATAAATGCCGGCTGGGAACATTTCACACAGGTCAGCAGTGAAGGTTCCCAAGCTCTCGGGCAGGTGTGCATAGAAGTTCTGGTACAGGAACACCAAGTCTATGAGACCGTTGTGTAGTACCAGGGGCCGGCGGGCCCGGATTAGCTCCAGGAACAGTGTCCTCACTGACTGGCTCTGACTCTCATCACCCTAGATGGAAAGAAAGGGGTCATCGGGAAGCACAGTCCTGTAGGGAGCCTCTTTTGCACAACACTTATCCCTGGCGCCCCTATCTGGAAAGTTCTCGCTCCCTATGCTAGTCTATTGTGGATCAGGCTTGTTTCCCTAGCGTTATCCCTAGTGATTTCCCATATTCCCTAAGAAGCAGATCATCTCCCTGGACCCAGACCAGTTAGGAAGAAATGAAATCACAGAAGGGGCAGTGTCAAGGTTGGAGACCTACCTTGTCATTGCCTTTGTGGTACGGGATACCCTGAGCATACTGCCGGTTGAAGTTGAAGCCATGCTGTACCAAGAACTGCACAGACTTTGGCTCTATCACATACTCTTCCATGCACAGCAGGGTCAGATTGAACACCTGAGCCAGGTAGGAGTGTTCACCCTGAGAGAGAAAGGATCTGCTACATCAGGATTTGGGATAGAAATACCGCACACCCAATGTTCTCCGGGATCTCAACCCTCTTCCCCGCGGCCACAGAGCAGGGATGGGAAGATCAGTCCATACCTTGTCTGGCTGCTGCTTGAAGCAGGCAAGGCCCAGGGAGAGAACAGAACGGGTCCTGGCTGCATGACACACGGACTTGTAACGTTCCTCGATGCACCTTGGGGTTGGGTTTAGGGGGTGGCTGTGGCTGGGAGTTAGCCCTCAAACCACCCAGGACTGTGACTTCTACTCCAGGGATGAAGTTTGCCCCTCCTGCCAAGGCTGGCACTAAGATCAGGGCTTATACTTACTGGTTCAGCAAACTCTTCCTGTCCCCAAGCCCACTCAGTTCCTGGGAGTGTGTAAAGGGAGAGTCTTGTGTCAGGTTCCCAGCACCAGCCCTTGCACAGCTACCTGCCCTCCCCATTCCCCTGCCCTTACCGTGTCCACAGCCACGAAGTTTGCGGTCTTTATGGCCAGCAGGAGGGATGGCCACATCTCCTTGAAGTTGTCACTCTGCACATCCACCACTGGCACCTGGACTGCTAGCTTCTCCTCAGAGTTTGTGCTTTTGCTGACACCGCCTGAGGCTAAGGAGAGAGCGTGGATGGTAATGCTGGGGCAGGGGCCCGGAGCAACAGGTACCAAGGTGTAGGCCATGGCTCGGGGTGGAATGTTGGGGGGCAGTTTCCATTAAGGCAAGAAATAGCACCTCTGTCCTACAAGCCTTTGTATCACATGTGCTCTACACACAGGCCTAGGGGTGAGCAGTGCTCTGAATTTGGGGGGAAAAGGCCGGCGTCTTCAGTGGTTTACGTCAGACTTTGGGAAAACTACTTCTCCCCACAGCACCACAATCTTTAGAAGCGGAACGCTGGATAAACGATCTGTGAGGTTCCTTCTTCCCACATTGCGCAGGAAATCCTTCTCAGGGCTTGAGGAATGCGACTCCTTTAATGCCCCCCAAAGCTCCATAGTACTGTTCCCACGGGGCCCCAGGAGCCACAAACAACGGTAACTAGTACCCTCCAGAGCCTCATAAATAATTTCTCACAGCCAAGCTCCCAATACATTCCACTTCCTTCGGACTCACGCCACGTAACAGAACCAGGACTCTAGACTACACCTCCCGACACGCCCCTACCCGCCCCGACTGCTCTCAACGCGCCAGGCTCCCGCAGCCCGAGCCGCGCTGCCCACCGGGATTTGTAGTCTCCTCGTGGTTCTTTCCTGGTCCTCTGAACGTTAGTTTCTAGAGCCGAGAGCCCGAGGCCTTCCCCTCTCCGGAGCGCACAGGGTTTTAAGGCGGGAAGCCCTAGGAAGCCACTCACCGTCAGGAGCCGCTGGGGCTGAGGCTGCGCCATCGCCACTGTCGGCAGCCATGACACCGCGCGCCCTCGCCTGAGTAGTTAGTGGGTACGCGGAGCTTCCGCCTGCCTGCTCTCCGCGCGGCTCCGGCGGTGGGGGACGGGGTGGGGCCTCGCCCTCCTAGTCGCCGACGGGTCGGACTTCCGTTCACACCTCCCGGGTCTGGCACGGAGGAGGCGGCCCGGCGCGCGCGGGGACCTATTGGCTGGCGCCGTGCGGTCGGAGCCACGCCCCCTGGAGCGCGTCGGAAGCCGGGCGCGGGAGACTGAACGGGAGGTATGCGTTCTCTGCGTTCTCCTGGCGGGAAAGGCGGCGGCGGCTTTATGCGGTCTTCATCCACGCGGACCCGGGGTGGGGATGGCGGTCCCCAGCTGCGGGGAGGCTGCCCGGGCCAGCCTGAAGCGCGCCCAGGAGTTAGGCACAGACAGGGCAGTGTAGGGAGAAAGAAGGATCTAATGGGAATAGGTAAATTCACAAGCAGAATGGAGACCTCACTTCCAGGAAGTGAAAAGGCGGGTAGGGGGACTCGAGACGAGGCTGCCAGAGGGGTTAGAGCCACCGACTGGCAGGGAAGCCTCTGCAATAATCCGGACAGGAGGTACAGTTGACCCTCCAGGGTGATTGCACTTGAATCCTGATACCGTGAGCGACATGCCCTTACCGGAGGCCGGTTCTGTCTCCCGGGCTCCGGTTCCCATCAAGGAGTCTCAGCTCTTTCTTTATTTACTGTTTCTAGTTCATCTTCAACCTTTCTCCACTGAGTCTTTTTCATCATTAGTCAGTATCGTTTGGTTTCTCCCATTCTAGTATATGTGCTGCCGAAGCGAGCACTGGATTTCTCCCATTCTAAAGAAAGAAACCTCTTACTATATTTCATCCGGTTAATTAACAGTGCTTGTTGTATACAACTTACCTGGCACTGTGCTCAGCACTGGGGACTCCATAGTCAACAAAAGAGACTCAGTCTTTGCTCATGGAGTTTTGTAGTCAAGTCAGGTAAGCGGACACTGATCAAAGAAACATAAATGTGAAATTACAATTAGTATAAGAGGGAAAAAATGAAGAATTACATAAGATTGTGAGACTAGGGGAGGGGGGCTGATTTGGACATTTAAGTCAAGACCTGAAAGAATGGGGTGACTGGGTGGCTCAGTCAGTTAAGCATCTGCCTTTGGCTCAGGTCACGATCCCAGCCAGGGTCCTGGGATGGAGCCCCATGTCGGGCTCCCTGCTCAGTGGGAAGCCTGCTTTTTTCCTCTGCTGCTCCCCCTGCTTTGTTCTCTCTCTCTCTCTCTCTGTCAAATAATTAAATAAAATCTTTAAAAAGGGGCGGGGCGGGGGGGGGAAGACCTGAAAGAGTGAGTAACTGTTAGGTGAAGAACAGGGTAAGAGCTGTCCAAATAGAGAAAAAGGATTGGGTGAGATGTCAAGGCAGACAGATATGTGGGGGATTGAAGCAACTATTAAGGCAAATATGGCTGGAGCATAGTGAGTGAGGGGATGAGGCAAGTGGGGATCTTTGGAGCCTACAAGACTGTGTTAAGAGGATTGGGTTCTCAGAGCAATGGGTGTAAGAGCCAAAGTCCTCCATTGCTTACAAGGTACTTAGAGATCCTGTGCCCCCTACCTTCTTTACCTCTTTGACCTCCTCTACTGCTCATCCTTCCTGGGTCCATTCTAACCACACTGGCTTCCTTAGTATTCTACAAACACACCAGGCACCTTCCTTAGGGCCATTGCACTAGCTCCTTTGTAGGATGCCTTTGGCGAATTCCTTCAATTGCCTGAAATCACTGGTCAAATATCACTTTAATAAGGCCCACCTTGACCATGTGCTTTAAAATTGCAACATTCCAGGGGGCACCTGGATGGCTCAGTCGTAAAGCGTGTGCCTTTGGCTGACATCATGATCCCAGGGTTCTGGGATTAATGCCCCACCCCCCAATCACACCAGGCTCTCTGCTCAGTGGGAAGCCTGCTTCTCCCTCTCCCTCTTGCTGCTCCCCTTGCTTGTGCTTTCTCACTCTCTCTGTCAAATAAATATATAAATAAAATCTTTTAAAAAAATAAAATTGCAACATTACACCATCACCACTCCTTATCCCCTTCACCTACTCTACATCTTCTCTTTGTATTAGTATTTATGAGTTAACATCCTATATAATTTAATTATTATTGCTCCCCCCTCCCCGCGTTAGAATATAAGCTCCATAACGACAGGAACCTTTGGTGTTTTATTTACTGAAGTTTCCAAGTACTTAAAACTGCTTGGCACATAGGCACTACATAAATATTTACTCAGTGAATTAGTAGGAAGACATTGAAGGTTTTAAGTAAGAAAATGAGACGATCGTGTCTTAAAAGATGGCTTTACTCTTTGGAAAATAGATTGTAGGATGAATTATGGAGTTAATGAGTTTGGTGACCATAGGTTGGCTCGGAAAGGAAGGAGAGTGGGTTTTGTAAAAAGGATAAAGGAGCAGGACCTTGAGCTCAGCGCGTTTGGGAGAGACCACTGTTTCATATCCGGAGGAGAGGGAGCAGGAGAATGCAGGTAAGTGCAGAGGACAGGAAGCTTGTGCATTCACTTTTCTCTGAAGGAAGAAGGAAGCTCTTGATGAAAATGAGGTGATGAAGAGAGGTTTTAAGAGTTTGAAGCAGGGGCTCAGCAGGGACTGGTGGAGCACAGCACAGGAGTGCAGTCTCAGGAGGCAGACCTTCTGGGTTTGGGTGCACAGGTTGGTTCATCTCTAGAAGCCTCAGTTTCCTCATAACTGTAGTGGAGGTGATACAAGCATATACCTAATGACGTCTGGAGATGGAGGGGGAAATCACTTAACTCAGCATCGGGTCTGGCACACGATAAGCCCTCATTAACCGAAAGAACAGTAAGGGAGTGATGAAGATCAACCAGATACATTTCTCATTACCAGTGGGCAGCCAGCTTTGGTTTACTACAAGAAAAGATTAGGAATAAAAATAGCACATCCGCTCCCACCACCACTGCCACCACCCCAACTTGCCGTCTGCTCTCAGGCCAATCTTTTCCCATCTCTGATCCTTGGTTTCTCCTTTCTGTAGAAAGGAGGTTCGGACTACATGATGGCTCAAGGCTGTTTCATGTGCTGCATCTCTACCAGATAAACTTCCTGCCTGCCGCATGCTTCTAGACACACCTCATAAGCCCCTGTCCACACATAGAGTCACAGTGAGCATCCGGGATACACAGGTGTATCCTGCCCAGCCCAGCCCTGGTCTCTTCTTTTGCGTGTCTCCAAGATTCCGCTTATGTTGGTCTCTCTGAAGTCACTTGCAGAAACTCAGCCCTGCTGGTCATCCCTTAGTGCCACAGCCTGCCAAGAGCGAACCCATGAGCATCTGGAGAGTGAGGAAAGCTAGACACTCTATCATGAGGGTTGCAGAGAGGGAGGTGGCTGTTACACCCATGGTGGGGCCCCAAGATTCAGCCTCATTGTGACTGACCACTTTGGGCCTTTCTCTTCTAGGCCATCATGAAGAAGCCGCGAACAGCTGTGAGGAGTCATCACAGGAAGCAGGCATCCCGCCAGGAGGGAAAGAAGAAATGTGTCCTTAGCAGCATCCGGGTCAAGCCTTCTACCCCAAATGGTGAGGAGCTCAGTCCTAGTCAAAGACGAAGGTGCTGGATTCATTGGCCATGAAAGGGAGGGAGATTCGGGCTGGGAAGGGAACACAGTTATGTGTCAGGACCTTAAGGGACTAATTAAGGTCTCTTCTGACTTTGCTGTGTCACTTTGGGATGATTGCCCTGAACGGCTGCTTTCTTACCAGTGAAATGGAACGGTTGTCTGCGCACTTCCTTCCTCTTGTGGCTTTCATGGGATCGATTGAGTTTATGAGCCTGAAAATGTTTTGTAAATGGGAAAGCGCCGCACACGTATACGTTATGCTTGGCTGAAACTGTTGGGTGTTCATTGTGACCCAGAGTCAAAGAAGGCGGCGGTACCACCCTGGGAAAGTTAAGGCTGGAAATCTGGCTCAGGTTACATACAGCTAGAGAATTCTGGTCTGATTTCAGATCCAAAGCTTAAGCACGGGTTGGGGGGAGGGGACACCCAAGTGGGAGCAGCCAGGCTGCAGTGCCCTGGGTACCTGGTGCACGGCCTAGGCAGGGACGATACCTGAGTTTCCTGTGGTCCCAGCAGACTTGGCCAGGCGGCAGGAGGAGGTGGTATTGCAGCCCTTCTCCCCGTACCATCTCTTCAGAGACACAGCTGAGGTCACAGTCTTTCGGGAGAAGCTCCTGAGCTGGTACGACCGAGAGAAGCGGGACCTACCCTGGAGAAGGCGGGTAAGCAGGCGAGGGACAGGGACAGCAGGGTGGGAGGTGGGTGTCCAGTGGTCTCCATACTGACTCCTTTCCTGGGACTGCTTTGGCAGGCGGAGGGGGAGGTGGACCTGGACAGGCGGGCATATGCTGGTGAGTGCATGTCTTGGGACCTGGGCTGCTTTGCCTGGATGCCTACTGGTCTGGGGTCTAGGGGCTGTGTGCTGGGAGCAGGGCAGGTCGTCCACGCCCTCATGCCAACCCCTCTCCCCCAGTGTGGGTCTCAGAGGTCATGCTGCAGCAGACCCAGGTTGCCACGGTGATCGACTATTATACCCGATGGATGCAGGTGACTCCAGGGAAGGAAGGGGAGGGTCATGAGCCAGACCCCAGAGAGAGCCCAGCCTTTGGGGTAGGGGTGAAGAAGGTTTCCTCCACTTCCCTTGACTTTGGGCTTGCTCCTTTTTGTTTGCCTTCGAGCTATAGAAGTGGCCAACGCTGCAGGACCTGGCCAGTGCTTCCCTGGAGGTAAGAGTCACCCTGGGGTGGGAGGAATGGGGACAAGTGAGGACTGACCACTGATCTCTCTGCTCTCACCCACAGGAGGTCAACCAGCTCTGGGCGGGCCTCGGCTACTACTCTCGAGCCCGGCGGCTGCAGGAGGGAGCCCGGAAGGTGAGGGAGTGACAGGGGGTAAGGTAAGGTAAGGGGGTGAGGCCCAGGGCCTCAGGTGTTTCATAACCTAGAGCCTCCCTGGACCCCACAATCAGGTGGTAGAGGAACTAGGGGGCCACATGCCACGTACAGCAGAGACCCTGCAGCAGCTCCTGCCTGGCGTGGGGCGGTACACAGCTGGAGCCATTGCCTCCATTGCCTTTGGACAGGTGAGTCCCCAGCCCACCCTGGCTTGGTGCGTGCCACCCTTCTTCCTCCCAGAACAGGCTAACTCCTGGATTCCTCTGTGCCAGGCAGCCGGTGTGGTAGACGGGAATGTCGTACGGGTCCTGTGCCGAGTCCGAGCCATTGGTGCAGATCCCAGCAGCACCCTCGTCTCCCGGCATCTCTGGTAGGATCTCGGGGTCATGGGGAGACCGGGAAGGGTATCTCCGAAGTGTCTCTGGCTCATAGCCACATTCCCTTGTAGGAGCTTAGCCCAGCAGCTGGTAGACCTGGCCCGGCCCGGGGACTCAAACCAAGCGGCCATGGAGCTGGGGGCCACGGTGTGCACCCCGCAGCACCCACGCTGCAGCCAGTGCCCAGTGCAGAGCCTGTGCCGTGCACACTGGAGGGTGAGCCATTTGGGGAAAGGGCAGGCAGGGGCCCTAGACAGCAGCCCCTGCTGCGTGACATCTGCCTCATGCCCCTTAGGTAGAGCGGGAACAGCGCTTGGCCTTGCAGAACCTGCCAGGCAGCCCCGATGTGGAGGAGTGCGGTGAGTGCCAGCCCCAGCCCTTTACTGCAGCGTTGGGGACCTGCTTGTGGAAGCCTCATCCAGTTTGTCCTACACCCCGAATAAGACTCTGCAGAGCTGGGCCCTAGCCTGCTCTTGGGGCCTGAGCAGCACTTGGGGCTATCTTTTCCCAGCTCCCAGCACGGGGCAGTGCCAGCTGTGTGCGCCTCCCACGGAGCCCTGGGACCGGACCCTGGGAGTGACCAACTTCCCCAGAAAAGCCAGCCGCAGGCCCCCCAGGGAGGAGTGCTCTGCCGTCTGTGTTCTGGAGCAGCCCAGGGCCCGTGGAGCTCCTCGAATTCTGCTGGTGCAGAGGCCCAGCTCAGGTAGCTAGATCCTCGGAGCCCAGGGTGGTGGCAGGAGCACCAAGGGGGACACGGAGGAGTCGACAGCTAACGCCTGGCCACACCTGGCTGCCCTTTCTCTCAGGTTTGCTGGCAGGACTGTGGGAGTTCCCATGTGTGACTGCAGAGCCCTCCGGGCCATGTGAGCGCGAGGCCCTGCTGCAAGAGCTTCAGCGCTGGGCTGGGCCCCTCCCAGCCACCCACCTCCAGCACCTGGGGCAGGTGAGGGACCCAAGCAAGGGGCAGGGGTCTTGGCTTCTGTGGGCACATTCATGGGCCTGTTTCAGCCCCTTGGTTCTCCCTCCAGGTGGTCCACACCTTCTCTCACATCAAGCTGACATATCAAGTATACAGTCTGGCCCTGGACGGGCAGACCCCGGTGACCGTCACGCCATCTGGCGCTCGCTGGCTGACCCGCGAGGAGTTTCACACTGCTGCTGTCTCCACCGCTATGAAAAAGGCACTACTTGTGTTGTCTTCCTTGTACTTTTTTGTGTTTCCTGTATGTTCTTAGTGAACCTATTATCATGTAAACAGGGAAACACAAAAGCATATTTTAAATAGGTGTGTTGTGGTGGGCATGAAGTTGAGAGACCACAGGGGTTTGGCTCTTTGGGGTTAAGATGCCAGCCCTGCACTCTCCCCCTCTCCTTGGCTAGGTGTTCCGTGTGTATGAGGGCCAACAGCCAGGGACCCGCAAGGTGAGTCTCTTGGCCCTCACCCAGCCATCTTTCCCCAGCCCCGAACCCACGGGTTTTCAGTGAGTTAAATGACATGTGCTTGGGTGAACATTATCCCCTCCAGACTTGGCTGTGGGCAGCAGAGTAATAGTTCTTCCCTGGAGACCTTAGAGCTTGGAATCTGGGGTGGAGAATAAGAACAAATGATGGAGACAATAGGGTCACAGGTGTGTGAAAAATGCTTGTACTAGGTTTTGTGGTTTATGAGAGCTTTCCGTTCTGTCTGGGAGGCAAAGATCAGGAAAGGCTGCTTAGAAGCAGCAGCTGGTAACCTGGTTTGAAGAAACGAATCATCATCTCCAGGTCTGGGAGGGGAGTCTGCAGCAAGAATGTTCCTACCAGGCCCCAGAGTAGTGTGAGCAAAGCTGGTGTAACTCGGCGTGCCGTGCGCAAGGACACATTTGATGGGCAGGGCCTGCGCAGGCCAGTCAGGGCCAGGGGCACCAGGCCACAAAAGCATTTTTGGTGGAGAGAGGAATCCGATTTGTATCTTAGGGAGACTACCTTGGGCTGCCATTCCGAGTTGACCGAAGGTGTAGATAATGGAGACTGGCTGGAAGCTTTACCGAGTTCAGACGGGAAACTGAGCTGTATCAGGGCCGTGGAGAGGGGGGCAGGAGAGGACACTCTGCTGCCCCCTGAGTGGCTCCTTCCTTTGGCTTCTACACAGGGTTCCAAACGGTCCCCGGTGTCTATTCCATCCAGCCGGAAAAGGCCCGGCCCAGGCCAGCAAGTCCTGGATAGTTTCTTCCGGCCTCACCTCCCCACGGATGCACCCCACCTCAACAGTACCGCCCAGTGACGACGCCTCTGCAAGCCCCCACTTCCTGAGAATCCGTTTTTGTTTTTGTTTTTTTTTTTAATAAAGTGCTTATTTTTATAGTCCTTTTGGAGTCTTTCCACCTCCTCCCTAGCCCACTCATTCTTCCCCTCAGAGGGGCCCGGAAAGTGGTGAAGTCCTGCTTGGTGCTGCCTTCCGCTGCCCGCACTCCCAGCCAGCCCGGGGCAAACGGAGGTGAGTGTTCTGTCCAGAGTGATCGCCCCCCTCCCAGCCCCCAGGAGAGAGGAAGAAAGCAGCTGCAGTGGGTCCCCTGCCCGAGGCCCAACACCCTTAATCCAGATCTCTGGTCAGCTCTGACGGTAGCAGTGGTATGTTCTAGAGCAGGTGGTTTGGCTCAGCCCTGACCCAAGCCCTCCCCACCCACAGAGGCTGCTCCCTAGGGAGAAGGGAAGCGGGAGGATTTGTTCTGTCTTAAATTCCCACCTTAAACACTAAATTTATTTCTGTATTGTTTCATATGTAGTGAAACAATACAGCGAATCAAGGGTTAATCATAAAATTGGGGGATATGGTGGAGAGAAATGGGATCAGAGGTCACAAAGATGGTTCAAAAGTATTGGTAAGTTCTATTTCCTACTATAATTCCTTTATCGTTCTTTATGTTAGTTATAGACTACGTAAGAACATTTCATAGTTTAAAAAAAAAAAAATCCCCACCTCTTTGGACCTCAGTGAGAGCTTCAAGTTCTGGTAGGTACCGAAGACATGGTGGCCGTACCTGGCCCCTGGAGACAAAGCCCTTCACCCCAAGCCTCTGCAGGTGTTTCTCAGTTCAGCTGGCCCTGTGCTCCAGTACAGGAGGCTGAAACCGGCCGCAACCTTCCTCAGGCTTCTAAGTCCCTGGTGGCTTGCTCCTGCACCGACTGCCATAGGGCCCGGATGTTGCCCTGGCCAAAGCCTGTGGCCCCCTGCCTCTGAATCAGCTCCAGGAAGAAGGTGTCCTCTGGAAAGAGAGACTTGGTGAAGACCTGAAGCAGAAACTTGCCTTCATCGCCATCCAGCAGGATCCCCTGTCGGGCCAGCAGGCTAGGCTCATGCCCAGCAGCTAGGATCTGTCTTTCCTTGCCCGGCTGCTCGTAGTATGCCTCAGGAGGAGCCAGCAGCTGCCCCCCAGCTGCTGCTACCTGCTCAGTGGCTTCTACAATGTTCGGCGTGTAGAGCCCAATGTGCTGCAGTCCTGGTCCCCTGTGCCGGGTCAGGAACTGCTCCACCTGGTCCTGTCCACTAGAAGCCCCCGGTAGGGTCTCAGCCAGCACGAGAGTGGGGACGGCACTGCCTGGTGGGGTCTGCAGGGCGGTGAGCTTCAGTCCCCCTCGCCCAGATCCTGCTGTCACCTCGAGGCCTGTCTCTGGGTCCTCACCTGGACTCAGTGGAAAGTGGCGAAAATCTAGGCAGTCCTGGAACCAGCGCATCAGTGTGGGGGAGCTGCCAGGGATGCAGGCTAGGGTGAGGTGGTCCACGTGGCTGACCCAGCCCGGGCTGGCTGCAGAGGATACGGGCTGGAATCCTGGGAGGAAAGGCCCTCGGACGCCCGCACGCTCCAGGAGTGTCAGGCTGAGGTTGCCGGCGGGCGAGCGGACCACAGCGTAGGTGGCTGTGCCCTGCGTATCCCTCACGCTAACCGGGGGCACCGGCACGCTGCAGCCCTGCGCGACCAAAGCCCGGGCGGCGGCGCCCGCGTCCGCCACGTCGAAACACAGGTTGGTGGCGCTGGGCACAGCATGACGTGGGTCCAGGCCGTACAGCGGCTCCCCCAGCCCTGCGCCCTCGTTCACCAAAAAGACCGCGTCGCCGCCGCGCAGGGCCAACTGCCGCCAGCCTTCTGCCTCCCGCACCGCCAGGGGCTGGAAACCAAAGAGACGCTGCAGATCCTGGCTCAGGGGCTGCCCCGCGGGCACGTGGAAGGCAATGTGGCACAGACGACGGGCGTGCACGGCCATGGCGGTCCGGATGATGACCCTGGCTTGTCCTTCCCCTAGGGCCGCTCTCCTGGCTTTTCAGGACTCCCGGACCCTCCGTCCAAGGTTCGTCGTCGGAAGCCTGTGGAGTCCAGTTTTCCGGCAGAGCGTATTCCTCGCTCTTTTCCGAGGAAATCACAGACTCACTCCTTTGGGGCTCGCGGTTCTCCGCCACGACCTCTCCAATCCAGAGCAGCGTTGGGACCACCCGGTCTGCGGGGCCAGTGGTGAAAACCACGTGGAGCCTGAGCTGGGGTGCAGCCGGAGAGAAGAGGCGGCGCCAGGGACCGCGGCTCACACTCTTCCCCTCCCACGCAGACCGTGTCGCCAAGGGTACAGCGGGGACGCAGGACTGCCCTTTCCCAGAGCCTCTTGATGGGCCATGCCCTCGGGCACTGAGCCACCCTTCTACCACCGTCCCCGGAGACCACAATAGCAGCCTTCACTTGGTGCCAGCAGCCGGGCTTTTTCTCCTCCCCTAAACTTAAGAGCAAAGGGAACCAATCCTAGCCGGGGGAGGAGCCAGAATTCCTAACCGCCTACCCCCGCCCCTGCCCCAAGCAAGGAATTTACCAGTGTCCTGTTTTAGCTTAAAAATGTTAGAGAATTTTGGGGCGCCTGGGTGGCTCAGTGGGTTAAGCCGCTGCCTTCGGCTCAGGTCATGATCTCAGGGTCCTGGAATCGAGTCCCACATCGGGCTCTCTGCTCAGCAGGAAGCCTGCTTCTCTTCCCCTCTCTCTGCCTACTTGTGATCTCTGTCAAATTAAAAAAAAAAAAAAAAAGATTTAAAAAATGCTAGAGAATTTTGCCTTTGACGTGTAATGTTCCTTTAAAACTTTAAAAATATCAAAATATTTTTTTACAGATTTTCTTTCCCTCCCCAAATTGGTCCAGAGAAACTGATGTTATAGGAAGATAGGTCATTTGTATGGCTCCTACAAACCTCTCTTTCTCTGTTAGTCTCTCAACTGCGCCTCTTTCTTCAACCCCACTTCTCTCTCAACAATCTTTTGCCTCCTGACCCAAGCAAGATTTGGAGAAAAAAACTGGTGGACCTGAAAGAAACAGCTGCATTAGTGTCCTTTCTCTCCCTCCTGACCCTATTGGACTAGAACTCAAGCCCTTCTTGTAGCTTCCTGACTGGGTATTGGGCCAGAGAAGCTTTCTATAGGCTTTTCTGGGCTTGAGACCCAGAATTGTGTGAGATAACTGGATTGAGTAGAATTGAGTAGATAGTAGGAGTCTTCTGAGACTTCAGTGGGTGGCTCTTGGAGGGTTTGGGAAGGGCACTTCAGGGGTAAATGGCATAAGCAAAAAGGTCAGGAATGCGAGCCAAACCCTCAGAGGAGCAAGAGCATAAGATTGGGGAGACATTTGGGATAGATGCTATGGTTCCAGGCATTGCAAAAGAGATTCTTTTGTCAGGGAGCAGATATAATACCATTCAGTATGACGTCATTGGCAAGTTCATTGGCAAGAGGAAGAAGGATGTGATGGAGGCACAGGGCTGAGAAAAAGAGGTCTGGCTGCATGTTTAGTCTTGCAGTCAGGAAGGCAGTACCCAGAAGCTGATCAGCGGTGGTAAAAAGCACTTGGTGCTACTCTGCAGACTAGTAAATTGGAGAACATGGGTTCCAAAAGCTGGATAGACCCGGGTTTGAAAACTACCTCCAATATTTAGTAGCTGTATGACTTGGGGCAAGTTGCTTATCTTCTCTGAGCCTTGATTTTCTCCTCTGTAAAAGTGGGAATAATAATAGTACCTACTTCATAGGGTTGTTGTGATTAAATAAGAGTATATTCTGCAGCCTGGCAAGGGGTCCAGGATTTAGCCTATGCGCCGGAGCCCAGCTATGTGGCATCAGGGCATACAAAGTGGGTTTGTATGTCACAAGGAGAGGGGCTGCAGTAGAACTCAGAGTAACAACCACATTTGGACCCCCCCCCCCAGGTTTGAGCACTGGGAAGGCTCTAGGAAGGCCCTGGCTTTGGTGTGGAATCTGGGGTTAGGGCCCCTGGGGATAGCGCTCTGTGAGGGCTGGGGCAGAATAGGTTATCTTCTGTCCACGCTATCATGATCAGGGCCCCAGGTGAGCAGCTCTAGTGCTTCCAGGCCTTTGGTGCAGCCAGAGGGGTTTCCACTCAAGGGCCCTATGTACCGACAGAGGGCACAGAAACGAGTCCCCTAACCCATCACTTCCCACCTGGTCCTGAGGGAGAGGGTAGATTTCTAAAGGCCAAGAAGGGTCTGACTTAAAGAAAAGGAGATTTTCGTTAGGGCATATTGCCCTGCAACAGCACTGTGCTTGACCTTGACCCAGAGGCCATTTTGGGGGGCGGGGGGCGGAAAGGGTAGAGGTGGTCATTGATGTTGGTTCCCTCCCCCCCCCCCCCCCCCCCCCCCCCCCCCCCCCCGCCCCAAGCCAGACTCCCATTCCTGCAGCCCTGCTGGCATCTGGGCTGTGACCAATGTAAGACCGCCATCTCCCGGTCAGGACCCTGGGGCAACTTCCGCATGATGGCGTCCTCCGTGCCTGTCCGCGACTGCCTTCCTGCTCGGGCTATGGATGCTAAGGGTGAGCGCTGGAGGGCACGTAGGTCCGAGGGGTGAGGCGATGGCGCTGCAGGAGGCCTCGTGCCACATCCGCCTTCCACAGCGGCCAGGACAGCGGAGGTGCAGGGGTGGGGAGCCGGCTGTGGAGGGGCTATACACGTCCTGAACCTGTACAACCAAGTCCCTTCCGCAGCTTTCAGCTCGAGCCCGGGGGCTGGCGGAGGTGCACGCTCCTCCGCTCAAAGCCTGACCTCACCCCTGTCCCGTCTCCCCTCTACCAGCCTGAACTGACATTCCTTTTCCGGAACTCGCGCCTCTCAGGTCCCATCCCGTCACTCTCCTTCCCTCCTGGGCCTGGTGGGCGATTGTCAGCTGCTGTTCTTTAATATAACCTCTAGGTGTCACCCTTGCCCTCAGCTTAACCCGCTCCTCCCAGCCCCTTCGCTCCCCACTTCTCGCGGAGGCGGCTGGGGTAGTTCTTTCC